GTGTGGAACTTGCAACAGTCAGGGGGGCGGCGGAGCAAAAGCCCTATCAGACCCGGGGTACCGGCGCGCCCTGGGCTGGACGGAGCACCCAGGGAGCGCGGACCAGGCGTCCCCGTCCAGGGGTAGTTGGGGGCCTTGCAGCAGAGAGAAGCCCAGCCTTCCTCAGCCCGGGCACATCGCCACGCCGGTCCCGGGCTCGCGCTCCCACGAACACTGCCTCTGGAACCAACGTGCGGGGAAAGCTGGGTCTGGGGAGCCGGGCTGGGAACGGACCGAGCCGGAAGTGACGCGCGGCCTTGCGCGCATGCTCCGTCTGGTCCCGGCGCGGTGGGAGCCACCATGGCGCACATCACTATCAACCAGTAGCTGCAGCAGGTAACGCTGTTCCGTGGCGGCGCGCGGTCCGCAGGGTGTTCGCCTCTTTCCTTTGGCTGCCGGGCTTTGGGGTCGGGTGGACGGGCAGCCGACTCGTGACTGGCTGGGGTCTGGATGGACACTTCCCGTCCGGCTGAGTCTCTTGGCTGACAGCACCCGAGCATTTGGCCCCCAAACGGGAAGCAAGAATAATTGAAGCAGACGCGCCGCCGTGTTTCTTGGCGACCCAGGGATTCGCCGATGGTCGCTGCTCTCAATTTAGGGACGTCCGCGTGTATGGAGAGCGGTCCCTAGTCATAGGGTATGCTGAAGGGCCCGTTAGCCACGCGAAGGAGGCGGGGTTCAGCCCCTGTGTAGCCAGGGAAGAAGGCCTGACCCAGAGGCCTGACCTAGAGGTTTTGTTTTCGGAGAGACGGCGGTGAAGCAGGAGGTGGAGGTAGCAAGGAGTCCAGACTGCGAGCCTCTAGTCCAGAGGTTCTCAACCTGTGGGTCGCGACCCCTTTGGGGGGGGGTCGAACGACCCTTTCACAGGGGTCGTCGCCTAAGACCATCGGAAAACACATATATAATTACATATTGTTTTTGTGATTAATCACTATGCTTTAATTATGTTCAATCTGTAACAATGAAATTGGGGGTCACCACAACATGAGGAACTGTATTAAAGGGTCGCGGCATTAGGAAGGTTGAGAACCACTGCTCTAGTCATAGCTACCTTTCAGTACACGCTGTGTGTGAGCCGTTGGCATACTTTGTATCCTTTAGGAAATGTCTCTCCAAGCGGTTTTGACCATACAGCAGCCAGTAAATAGCAGCAGTATATTTCGTACAGGTATGTATGTATTCAAAGCTTGAATACATTGATTATAACAGGAATCATGAAAAAACAGACACATGCTTTTATTTTAACTTAAAACACAAAAATACATTCATTTGCCAGCCTTTTAATTGAGGCCTAAGACCTCTTCTTAAGGATAAGTGTACTGTGGCCTTATCTTTGCAGACTTAACATTTTCAAATATCAGTTTGTTTGTTTGCTTAAACTTGTTTTTATTGATTTCAGAGAGTGGAAGGGAGAGGGAGAGAATCATCCATCAGCTGCCTCCTGCATGCCCGCTACTGGGGATTGAGCTGGCATGTTCCCTCACCCGGAATCCAGCCATGACCTCCTGGTTCATGGGTGGACGTTCAACCACTGAGCTACACCAGCTGAGCAAGATCAGTTTATTTAAAGTTGAGCAAGGACTTAGACACTGGAAAACTAATATGAATGTTTTGGGTTTTTTCCCAGCTTTTACATTCTCTTGCCCACACATAGTTCTGTTTTTGTTTTATTTATTTATTTTTTTATTCTGGGTGCCTTGTTACTTTTTAAAGCTGTTTACATTTAAAATTTTCATTTTTCCTCCAACTTTTTATTCTGTAAATTTTCAGACCTACAGAAAACTTGAAAGAAGTAGAAAAAGACATATAACACCCCTCACCTGGCCCACCCACCGTGTTTGCTCTGGGCATGTGTACTCCCAGACCATTTGAAAGAAAGTGGATGACACTATGGTCCTTTACTGTGCCTAGGACCAAGGCTGTTCCACTGTCTAATTGCAGTGACTTTACTACACTCAAGAAATTTAACATCAGTATTAACGTCGATATTTTTCTAATGTAGAATCTGTAGTTTAATTTTCCATGTTCCCTAAACTCTTCTTTAGAACTTCTTTTTTTAAACCCAGGATCCAGACAGATCATATATGGCATTTGGTTTGTTTGCTCTTTAGTCCTTTAATCTAAAAGGGTCCTTTTGCCATTTTTTGGGTTGGGGGTTTGGGGGGGCTTTTATGACATTTAACCTTTCTTGAAATGTCCTGGCCAGTTGACTTGTAGATGTCTCACAGTCTGCCTTTGACTGTCCCTTATGATTAGATTCAGGTTAAATTTGATAGTGTGAATTTCCCATAGCCTCACCTCAGAGGCACACATTGATGATACTGATTCACTTGATGTCCATCAGATCACTCTGGTGTCGAGGTACCTTTTCCCTTGTTATTAATTTGGAAGCTGTTGGATGGACTAAGAGAATCTAAGAGCATTCTGTTCCTCAAGACTTACAAAATGGTTTTAGATTTCATTTGTGGGCATTTTCCAAGTCAGTTATTACATTAATGTTTGCCAAGTGATAACTTTCTATCATTCTTTTACATTTGTTAGTATTTCATCTGTTAAAAAAATGCTTTCCCAAGTCAGTTATTACATTAATGTTTGCCAAGTGATAACTTTTCTATCATTCTTTTACATTTGTTAGTATTTCATCTGTTAAAAAAATGCTTTCCCCTTTGCCCTTCTTTTTAAAAGTATCATTATGCATTATTTTTAAGGGCATGTTATAATCCACTACCAATATTAAGAATATTATTATTATTGAAGCTCAAATTGTCTCATATTTAGACACTGGGAGCCCCTTCAGACTGGTTTCTGTGGCTTTTTGATATGTCTTCATCCTTCTTTGAGCCCTGCTTTGCTTTCTGGCACAGTAATATCTATTCCACTCTCACTTAGTTCTTTCCCTGTTCCAGCACTGGTTCAGCTATTTCTCCAGGGACTTCTGGTTCCTTTTAGTGGAGAATGGAATTTAGAAAACCAGTCTGAGTGCTAGGTGTGCTTATTGCTACTGGGAGTCATTACTTCTAGGCCTTTTAAGGGAACAGAGCTAGTAAATATATTTTTGAGGAACTATGAGTTCCCAGAGTAGTTGATTCCCCCATGGACCAGCTTGGAGCCTGGAGTTCTCGAGGTGACCAGCAGCAGCCAAGAAAGAGAACTTATTCCTAGGAATGCCCAGGGCCAGAGAGCTTCACTGGTGAGCTCTGCAGTCCCTGGGTCAGGCCCACAGAGTGCTGCTAAACAGGTTCACCTGGAGTCCAGCTGCCTGGTCCAGTGGGAGGTGTTTAAATTAAAAGGCCAAAGTTTCTGGGACATAACACATTAACTGACTAAAGCAGGTGACAGGGTTGCCTATGATCTCAGTGTCCATTGAGGGACAGATCAGTTTGTTAAGCTAGCCTGTTGCCACCCCTCTGTTTACCCCTACCCCTTCCCCGACACACATCCATCCACCTTTACACCCCATGATGGGAGCTCTGGCAGCTTTTATCAGTTTCCTTCCAAAATACTGATGGAATTTGTATTTTGTGATTACTCAGAATACATCAACAAGTAATCCTGCACAAACATCTTTTGTTTCTTATTGTAAGGTAAATCCTTAGAAGTGGAACTGCTGGCTCAAAATGTAAGTGCTTATGTAGTTTTGTTGAATAGTTAAGTGCCAAATTCTTTATTAGATAAGGTGGTGTAAATGTTCCCAGTCAATGGTCTGAGTGGTACAACAGATGAGGAATTGCGTCCCCTTGGTGTCCTGGTGGCTTTTGCCTCTATTTTTTCTGGCTGCGGGTGCCTGGGCATGGGATTGCTGGGTGGGGGAGTAAGTATGTGCTCTCTTTAGTAGGCATACCAAACAGTGTCCCAAAGTGGATGCCACGTCACCCTCCCCAGCAATGTGTGAGAGGTTTAGTTGCTTTATATTCTTGGAATACTTAGTATTGTCAGCCTTTTCCATTTTAACTCTTCTTTGGGTAAGTATGGGTATCTTGTTGCATTTTACTGGTGGGGCCGGATGTGAGCACTTTCTCGGGTATGTACCATTTGGATATTCTCTTTATGATGTCCATTGTGTGGGCATAAATTTATATTTACTTTTTTGTAGATAAATTATCCTATATAATAAAAGCATAATATGCAAATTGACCAAATGGCGGAACTACAGGTCAGCGGGGGGTGGGGCTGGCCAGCAGGTGGTGCCAGGCCCACCAAGGCGCATGCCAGTAGGCAGAGGGAGGGGACGGCGA